GGTGAACAACTCTGACGAAGAAACAGGCAGCTATGGCTGCCGCCACCCACAAACACTCAGTGAAGAGCCTCGAGATAGCCCGGCCAGACGCAGATACCTCCAGGGTAGATGCGCTGAGGATGTCCCAGCTTTGACAACCAAAAGTCCTGAACCGATTTTCCTAATCTATTAATAGATCTACACTACCCTAGCCTAGACCTAGACCCGACTGACTGGACCAACCGGTACCATTCCAGTTTCGGCCTCTCGGCCTCTCCCTACCCGGCTATAGGCTATAGGACCGTCTATCGGTATAGGCCTTTCAGGCCTATCCGTCCTAGGGGTAGCTTGGGTCTGCTATACGCAGTTAGGGTCAGCTGTAGGAATTTCAAATTAGTGTTGGGCCTGTATTTTCCCAGATTTGCAGATATGTCCCTCACGAATATTCCTTACAGGTAGGTCTCTCGGTTAGCCCTCAGCCAAACAAAATTACGAATCTAACCTATTGCTATACTGTACGGCCTCGCAGTTAGTCTCGACACTTGAAATCAGCAAGTCATTGCAAGCTTACCCCCCAGGGGAGCGCGGACCTCCGAGCTAGGGATGCAGACGAGGTGAACGGCAAGGAAGGTTGCCCTTCTGAGCCGCTTCATATCGCAGAACAACTGACTTTGCTGTCTTGAGAAGTTCCCTTCTGTAGAACCATCTGTTCTCATTGTGATGCTTGGTTGGCCGGTTGGGTAACCCAAAGGGCTCCTGCATCAGATCAACGTACTGGTCCTCAACCTGCTGTATCCCAAGAGGACAGGAAACAGTAGGAGCGTCTATTTGCTTGACCAGAGCCAAGAACAGGCGCTCATGGCCATACTGGCGCGAGAGAGCATAGAACTCTCTCGCTCTCAAACAATAGCAACTGGTTTTAGGGTGGTGTTCAGCAGCAATCATACATGGCTGATACACCCCCTGTCTGTTAGGCAGTTCAACCTTTGGGATCTGCCAGTCGATCCTTGGGTTGACGGCCTTCAGCCACTGCATAGAGAACACCAGGTCAAAGGGTAAGTCAGGGAATATGTAGAAGTTCAGATTATGTCTGACCTCTCCAGGACTGTCGAAGGTGACAGGGATCCCCCTGACCTTCTCCCTGATCGTGGGAACAGTGGAGTCACCTATTCTAACCAGCAGCAGTTGCTGCAGCTGCTGAACTTTCATGCCCAGATGCAGTTTCTTGACAACACTGGGAGACATGAAGTTCCTGGTGGCTCCACAATCCAACAGACCCTTAATGATGATGTTGTTGATCAGGGGCTGGAGTAGGATGAGATCAGACTTGCTTTTCTTCTGTTCCTTCAGATGAAGGAAGAAAGCCGCAAGTGACGGAAGCTCATCCTACCCCGGGTCCTGATCGGGGTCAGGATCCTTATAGTAGAAGGATGCTGCCCGTGCAGTTCCCGAACACTCGGACTCAGTCTCAACTGAAGCAGCTGCAGATCCACCTACATCAGCAGATGGGAGTGCAGCACTGGGGGGAACTGCAGTCCCCAGGGTCTGCTTAGTTTTTTGACTGTCTTGGGCCTGGCATGTAAGGGCAGTCCTTCAAGAACTGCTGTCCCTCACATCTCAGGTAGACCTCTCTCTCCTTCCTCCTTCTCCACACTCCCTCTTGGATCTTGAGGTCATGCCAGGGGAGAGTGGAGGGATTGAGTGGGTCAGCTGGTATACGGAAGTCCTTTGGCAGATTAGGGCGCTGGGAGGAGGAGGGCCGACGTCCCTTGTCCTTCCCCTGTGCACTGGCTAAGGCTGTGGTGGGGGAGAATCTTTTTTGCTGCTACAGAACTCCCAGAACAGCCTGAGTCAGGGCCGCTGCAACATTTGTCTCAGTAGCTGATCCAGTCCCAGCTGATGGTGTATCAGCCTGGGAGTCTGAATCAGAAGCTGATGCAGACCCTGCATGTGCAAAGGCTTCCTTTCCCTTTTTACCACCACGAGGGAAGGCACCTTTCCTCCTGTCAGAGGAGGGGGCCTGAACATGGAGTTTGGATTCCATGTCCAGGGCTGCGCGGCTAAAGGATCTCCAATCCTTGTGCCCAGCGCTGTACAGTGTAACTGCAAACTTCTCAGGC